ATGTCTGAACTGAATATTAGGAACTGATTTTGTCTGATTAAATTCTTATAACAGCAGCTATGAGAGACCAGTTTTGTACTACCTACTGCTCCAAGTTACCAGTAGACATGCACCAGTGGAACTAAGAGAAGGAGCTGACCCAGCTCTACACTACAGCAATATTCGTAAATGAGCACATGTTCTCTGAAAGCATGTTCTACTCCATTTTTTTCAAAAGCGAGAACGTCAAAGTTTTGTTGCATGCTGGCTCTTTCCTGGCCCACTAAAACCAAACCAAAAAACCCCCAAGAAAACCCTCATATGATGAAACTAGAACAGGAATGTAATGTTTTAGCCATGGTGCATGTATACAACAGGACAGGCAACGATACAGTACTTTAATCTGTATTGTCTATATAAAACATTTATTTTTAAGCTTTATAATGGTATTATAGAAATACATAGAATATTTTATAGAGTGTATTTTTGTGTACTCACTGTGAAAATAACACATTTATTAAGACAGGTATTCTTATGTCCAAACGTTTTAAATATATGCACTTCTTTGCCTTGCAGTATTATGTTACTTTGAAAAACAAAATATCAGTATTTTATTCTTTGCTCCTCACCAGAATCTTCTCATTCGGATTTCCCTGGGTCATCTAGGGTGCTCACTGCTGTGAGATATTTTATAAAAACCACGAAAAGTACTTAGATTTGTAGATTTCCTATATCTGTTTGCATTCATGTCTAGTGCACATAGCTTGCCGTTCGATTCTCCAAGTGCCTTCTTCGTAAGTACAGTGACATATAGTGCATTCATCAGTTTTCACCTCCCGGCCTGCTGGAATGACAATGGTTTCTGCAAAGCAGTTCGGGCCTAAAAAAAGGAAAGAGTTTATTATGCGATACCCATAGCACACTGTAATCCGGCAGAGTTCAGTTTTAGTCTTGAGCACGGAAAACCTAACACGAAGTGAGTAACGCTGGGCACGTTAAACAAACGTGAGCATCGCGCACAAGGCATAAAAGCAGCAAAGAGAGCAAGGACCCTGCCCTCCGCTGTGGCTGGACATTTTCAGTACGGACTGTCCTGCCCTCCACAGGGGAAGGTGCAATAAAGCCTTCCTGTGAAACGTGCAACTGTGACAGAGACCTGGGCACAAACTGTCCACGCAGGCGAATACAGATTTAAGCTAGAGAAAAAGCCAGCTATGGATAATGCAACAGTGCTACTGGAGGCTACTAGAGAGCGGATTATAAATGTTATTACTTTTTTTCCATTGGAAACAAGCATTGTATTTTGTGTAGTAATCAAAGTATCAGATCAATTTCTTTTCCATTTCATGAGAAAATAGTCCTTTTCCAGTAGAATGGAATAGCTCCAGCCTCTTCTGAATGAAGACGCTTTTCGTGTATAAAATGAAATATTCCAGTTTATGTAAGTCTTCCAGCAAGTCTACAAACACCCCTTCCCATAGTACACCGAAATAACTTCATTTCCAAGGACGAGGCAGGAGAACAACCCACCAGCACAATGCTCACAAGACAAATCTGGTTCATTCAATAGGTCACATCGTCGCACATCTCTGCCACAGAAGGCTGCGAGTGCTGTATTATCTACAGTTCTGTTAAAAACGAAGTCTATTTCTGCGCTGAAAATCCACACGCACTTGTAAAGCAGCACTAAACCCTAACAATCATCTCCTATCTATACACTGCCATGTCGTCAGGGGAACCCGGCCCTTCCATTCACTAAGCGCACACAGCAGCTGCTCAGGCAGAGCCCGGCTGCTCAACGGCACCTTGGTACCGCTGTCCACCAGGGCAGGATTTGCAGTAGGGACCAGCATTTATTGATCGGATACAGCTGAAACTCCTGAAAGAATATGGGTGTGCAAAACGCTTATCAGCTGCCCACCTGTTTGCCATGCAAGTAAATAAATCACAGAGGAGGTTCAATCTTCCATTGCCAGGCGTCTACTGTAAGACCTAAGGCAAACAGTACGGCTTCTTCTTCTAAGGCAATGTATTTATTTTTTTTAAGTGCCTCCTCTGAAAACCAAAGCTGGGTGCACGCTGCACATTTTATAACACAAACCAAATAGTTCACAAATCGATTTTAATAGTTATCTCTTTGGACCGGATTACGTGTTTGTGGTACTGACACTGCAGCTTAAGAATTAGTTGCCAAATTGACAATAACAAAGGCCTTTCCTCAACAAAGAGGAAAGAAGAGACCTGCAAGACTTGCAGGAATTTGCTTCACCAAATCGTACCCATTAATCCTCTGAATATTTAAGCCAGTATTTTGTTTTAGGACTGACTGTTGACAAAGATCTCTAACATGTGGCTTCTTCCCTAGTTTTGGGTGGCTTCTGGCCCATTCAAGGCTTTGGACGCAGAATGGATAGCAAAGTACAGCATATCTCAGGTAAAGTTACCTGCTTTACTAACTCAGTGTTACTGTGGTACGTTTGTGTTCGCAGCCCCCTCAGTCTGTCCACGCAAAGTACCACTGGGTTGGACAAGAGAGGAAGGAGGACTTTGGGGTGGAAGACATGCTCCCGAGTCCCACCGCACACTGGCAGGTGCCCTAGCTTTCAGCCGAGATAAAGCAGTGTTATTAACTATGCTGTCCTCGGTGGAACTTTATAAGATTTCAACTCTAGTCTACATAACTCTAACTATGTTTCCGTTAAGTACGGTATTCTTCTTGCACCTAATAAACTTTCAACCCAAGATGGGTTCACCCACACATTAGGTAGATACCTGCGTGTTTTGCATGCTGGCCTGGAATAGCCCCATGATATATGGGGCTATATGATATAAAGAGTTAAAATATTAAAAATGGAATCTACTTTCCATGGAGAATTCGCATGAAACCTACAAGACCACTTGAAATTCAAACGCTATGTAAAAGGCACGAGAGGAACAAAAGTGATGTCAATCCCCTGTGCAGGATTTATTTCATTCTGGGAAAGTAAATGTTACAGGCTATACTTGGTTATAAAAGTCAACCAGGGAATGAAGTAAAAACAGTGCAACACATGTAATACAATTCACTAGGCTTCAGAATGTAAATGCCTTCATTCACAATTAGCAGCACCTTAATGCCATGTGTGACTAGTCCTTCTTATATCAGAAAGTTATTAAATGTAAAAATACAAGTTAGCCCTAAATTGTTAAACTATTTAACATGGGGGAAAGTCATTGTGCTGGTAAATCCACAGAAGATGAATAACCATCTACTTGAGAAAGGGACCCTACAAAAATAAATGACAGCAACAAAGTATGTTATTGAGCAAGCTAGATTTTTTTTAGCGTTATGCAACTTTTCTACAGAAACCTGCCTATGTTCTGGTTCTGTATTTGCACCCATCATTACTGTAACTGCAAATCCTGTATAGTACTTAGACTGGCAATAGTCAACTGGCATCCTTGCCTCATCTTTTTCTTTGCAATATTGCGTGCACACAATATTGTGGTTAATGTTACAGAAAAGGTCATCAATGAAAAGTCTGAACTGACTATATTACAGCAACACCATGCACATAAATGCCAGTACAATATAGTGTCCAGACATGGGAAAATAATTCTACAGCTCTCCAAATCCTCAGACTTCTTCTAGGGAAAAAAAACCTGAGCTTCACCCCAAACCTCACTCAATTTTGAAGCTGTATGAGCTAGTCCTGGCTCTTGGTGTGCTGTGGCTCCCCTCCTACCAAGCAGGCGATGCTCCTCCCTTTTCTTTTCCTCTGAGGAGCAGTCACAGAAACCAGATGTACATGGCTGGACCGGCCAGAGGAGACCAGCCTGCAGCCACGGCGGATACGTGGGGCGGCAGCAGCGGGACCCTCGGCGTGAGCCTGCCCCAGCTGTCCCTGCGCCTCCAGCAGACCTTCCCCGGCCCCTGCCAGTCGGACGGACAGTGCTGATGAAGCAGCTAATGATCTGATTCTCTGTCTGTCTAAAAGGATGGTGGGGAAACTGAGAAATCGAAGATTTTAAGCCGACAGTGGGGCAAGCAGGCAGAGCAGGCACGCAAAGGCTGATGTTAGACTCAAGAGTGCGATTTTCTCACTCCGCCTTAGGAGAGGGCAGCAGAAGCATGTGTCTCCTCCACATTCAGAGTGGATAAGCTGCCCTGAAGGCATGGCATTTGCTGAAACTACTGCTTTACTTAAAACTGGGCAGTTTATGTTGATTTAGCAAGATTTGCAGCTTCCCGTCACAAAGGGCGAGACATTTTGTGAGTTTTAAAAAAGTTTGCAAAATTACCCGCCTTAGCACACGAAAAGCATTTCCGAGTAAATCGGGGCTCTTCCAACTCCAAAGCGGTGGTGGGCTTTCTGACTAGATGTTGCTGTTGCAGGAGCAGTGAACAGTGAATTTCTCCTCCTTGGTCTACCAAGCAGGCTGCCTGCTTTCTGAGCTCCCGCTTGGTAACACCACTACTCTGCCTGACTTTAGCACCCGGTAGTCGTTCAGTGCAGCAGTGGCTTACTTGAGCTTGTTTGATCTATAGTATAAACCTCCTGGGCCCCATCCCCAACTGTATACACTTATATAGCTCCAAGGAAGTCAGTGGTGCTGCACATCTTCACAGTAGATGAAGATTTTGCCATATCACTCTTAAATCTGGCAGAAAATTCAATATGACATATTGTACCAATTCCGAGCACAGCCTGAAATCTACCACGACATCATTTGTTTTCCTAAAGTATATACTGGCACTGTCAGACTCCGTTTGAGCCATACCATGGCTCCGCTGGTATCAGCAGAGATTTCTTTCCTAGGGCTAAGGCACAGTTGCTGCCCATCTCAGCGATGTCTTGAAACAGCGAGTTCAGTGCAAATCCTCAGTTCTCACACTGAGCACCAGATTGGCATGCAGCTCTCGGCTTCCCCACACCCGAAACGGTGAATCCTAGCTTCCATATGTTGACAAATGCAACTATCTAATTAAAATGCAAATTTTGTTATCTCGGAAGAAAACAGCCGATACCAATTATCAGCAGAGAATGCCCAAGCCGCTCACCTGCAGAAGCGCTAGCACCTGTAACCTTGACAACCTCACAAGAGGCTCTCTGAAGCTTCTTCTCCTCTTCTCCTTCCACAAAACCACAGCTGTACTCTACAGAGTTGTGCCTGTTTCCTCTGCAGCTTGCCCCGGCTTTTGCACGGGCACGTGTTCCAATCAGTTAAAAAATCTAAGATGCAGCAATTTGTTAAATCGTGTTTTGATCAACTGTTTTCATCACGTGTTAAACCAAATTATGGACAAAGAAATCTGTTCCACTGCAAGTTAATGTGTTTGCCTGGAGAATAAGTCACGGCAAATTTTCGCCAATTAGAACTAGAGTGACAACCTCTGTAATATAACACTTTGATATAAGGCTGCTTTGGCCTCTGGTTTATACTAAACTCCCTAATAGCTGCCCTTTTAATAGGTCGTTGCAGCAGTCAAACAGGTCACTTGCAAGGTACCTGACAGCAGACCTATCTACCCTGACAGTTATACGGCACTCATCACTGTGGTATTAGAGCACTTCGTAAATGACATAAACTCAACATTTGGCTTAGTTCCTTTTCTTTTTTTCCTTTCAAATTTCATGGAGAGATTTCCAACAGTTACAACATGAAAAGACAGATCCCACACTTTGTCCTGGAAGTCTTGAGAACCATGACATTATACAAGAAGCAACTGTGCTGGCTGAGATCAGAGGTCCACCTGCAGCTGCAGCAGCCAAAAGGAAATGCATGGGGAAGTGTATGGGAACAGAACAAGCACAGTTCTTAAAACACACACCCAGTTTCCAGCACTTTCTGAATCAGAGACTTCATAAATGGCTTCTGTGTGCTGAGTTAATGGATGGA